AAAGTTTCATTAGAATTGCAAACTCTTTAATTAAAATTTCTAGAAAATATTTTGGTATGCAGATCATTTCTAGAAATGAAACTTTGTGGTATTTCTTTAATTTTTGCACAAAGTTTGAAATAATGACCTCACTTTTATAAAAAAACATAAGCGAAAAAATTTTAAATGAAAAACAATGGGAATATTATATAAAGATTTACACAATTTTAAGTGTGAGTCACTATACTTATTTATTCCTTTTTACCTAAATAGTCAGTAAATTTGTACTCAGTGAGAGAATGGAAGTATGCATATGTTTGAATTATACATTCTAAAATAATAAATTGCTAATCATTAAAAAAAATTTCAAATCCTTTTTTATTTCCAGGTAGCTTTAAAATAAAATCTTAATACTTCATCATAAAGTTTCAGTTTGCATAAGTAAACATCGTCAACAAAGGGCATAACCACCCCACAGTAAAACGATCCCCTTCAAATTTATTTTTTAACGCTACTGATGATACGTCAAATTTGCTTGAATGTATTTGTCACATATATTCACAGATACTAATACATGGAAAACTTGCGCATGCGCAAAACGTACATTTGTCTCAAATCTATCTCCCTTTGATTGCTGAATCCAAACACATTGCGCAGATAGGTTACTGCCAATATAGAAGTATTACATATATGGTAGATATGTATTACTAATTTTCCTTCCAAACTAACAAAAATACAAAAATCCTTAAAAATTCGAAAATTCATGTTTTTATGACAGGCTAGATTTCAATGTCCTCAACTGTATATTGAAAACACAAATGTCATTTGACTTATGGCATGTGAATTTGTGGTTGCCACATCCAACAAATTGTACTTATTGATCAATATTATTGAAGATTTGACGAAGATTTAAGTTAAATCTACTGCCTTTCGAGATTTAATTTTATATGGTAATCTCAAAAGATTTAACGTCAAATCTCGTCAGAGGGCTAAATCTTCATTAAATCTCACAATGGAGACATAGTATTACCATATCACTTTCAAAATTGCATCAAGCCATTCAGGTCGATCTGTGCCCAATGCAGACGGCGCGGTAAAATTAAAACTGAGTTGTCAAACTACCAAATGACAGCTGATGTTAAGACAGCGACGGTAAGCATTCCCACGACAGCCGGTTCTACGTACCGGAATGACTCGGGTTTTACCCGACCAAGGGCTGTTGTTTCGGCGATCTAACCCCGTTTAGGTCGGCGAAGTATCTCAGAAGTTGTTCGTCCATAGGGCTAGATTCGCTACG